TTGGATATTTTTAATTTATCATCCACTGATGTTAATCAATGGAGTTTAAAAGACAGAAGATCATCAAATAAATCAATGGAGTTAACAAAAACATGCGTGATTTTCACCCAAATATATTGAGAATAGCTAAATATGATACCAAATCGAAAAGAAAAAAAAGAGAATACTTAAGAAAATATCTCCAGTCAGAAAAACCACCTCAAAACATACACAACAGCAGCCATAACAACACACTGGCACATCAGAGAAAACAAATACCTAAAAATCTGAAGCTAAACTTTATATATCACCAAGCCACCACAAGCAATTACTTGAATCTACTAAGCAATCACCACTGCACCTGCTTACAGGACAAACAAATAGCAAGCTTATGAATACCAAAATAATAAGGATAAAATATACAAAAAAATGTTGATATTCTTCCTCGCCAAGAACAACACCATAAAAGAACAAAGCACATGCAGAAGACAACACCAAAAAAATAATACATATCNACCAGCAAAGATTCTAGGGAAAAAAAAACAAATAAACACCACGCACAAATCCATATATATCTTTGCAGGCACAAGATTGTGAGGAATCCCCATCAATAATCATCAACCAAATGGTTAAGTAAAATCAGAAAGAAAAGCAATAAGTAAGAAACCAATAGAGAAAAATACACACACCAAACTGAAAGAAAATAATGCAACAGAATCACAGTCCCATCATATGGCCACATATACTAATCAACAGTACACGATGCATACACAATTGCATACACAGTAAAGAATAAGGCACATGACATGCAACCCAATACTTTTTTTTCAACACCAATCACAACTTTGAGATAAGATCTAAAAATGTATAAAATTAATCAACAGCCATGTAAAAGGCATGGGTTCACACAATAGCTATAGGAAAAACATTAAAATAATCACAACGCCATACCTAACAGTGTTTCTCGAACACAACGACATGGTAGTATGCTACTCATGGAACCTATGGAACATCTAATCAGACACTTACAGGCCACATACCTTACATAAAAGCACCCAAAAAATGAACTCTCTTCTACCCTCCCACCATCTGTATGCACGCATGAAAAGGTCCAAACATAACCACACACATACACTGTTAATTTAACCAATTCAATAGCAAAATACAAAGCAATTATCCTCTAAAGTCAAGCAAGAAACTCCAACCAGACCAAATAGCCAGCCAAAAAAATAAAAAACCTAAAACTCCAACCATTACAATAAAACATGAAGAAGAACCCCAACCAGATACAACATAAAGCAGATAGCCTTGTAATCAAATGATTTGCGTCTAGACTCGACTTAGCACGTTATGTGTCTAGAAAACTCCGATATGTGCCCTGGTTCAAAAATAACACAAACAGCCACCTTGCAACCTCAAACCTCAAAATTGATTGTACATCTTATATGCATACCATACAACAACTAAGGGATGAACAATAACTATCCGATCAATACTAATAACTAGGAATTTTCACAGATAAATTTATACATTAGCCCAGTGATTAAAATAGCAGCGCCATGGGACGCAATGGCGCGAGGCGTGGGGAGGTGGGGCCTTAGCGCCTCAGCCCCTTGATAGATAAAAAAACAGAGTGTGTTCGTTAGATGAGGATTTTCCAGCAAACTTAAATTCAACATATACGTATAAGTGAACTCAAGGTTTGCTACAGGAGTTAAAAAAATTGCTAAATTGTCAAAGTATACTACATGAATTGAAAAATTACATTGTGCCTTTTCTTCCACCGGTGACGGCGACCAACCTACGGCAGATAACCAGCGACGCCGACGGCGAGTGGTATGTCTTTCTATTTTTCCTTTCTTTTTTTTTTGTTTTTCTTTTTTCCCTTCTTGCTTCAGTCCTTCTCCACTAGTGACGGCGCGGGTTGTGGAAGTTATCTGTTCTGGTTAAACTTCCGTCACCGGCGAATACTCTATGTTGTGACCTGAGTGCGAATTCTCGTTTGTACTGTAAGTGCGGCTATGTTTTTGTTGGGAACGAAATCTTGTGTTTAAGTGTTTTACTTACTGTGTGTTAGATATACTTAGATTAATTAAGAGACTTCGAATTTAATCCAACTAGGGATTGTCAATCAAGTGTTAGAGATTTCAAGAAATTCAATTAAGAGTTAGCGACTAAACTGAGTTTAAAGTTTTCGAGCCCGGTTAGACTAATTTTTGGACATGATCGTGTTCGTTCATTTAATATTCAAATAAAAATTTTCATTCATGTTCGTTCGTTTCTCGGTTCGACAAGTTTGTATTCGTTCGTTTGTATAGTCGAACTTGTTTGCGAACTGTTGAAATTGTTCTACAAGTTCATGTTCGTATTATTCGACATATTCGTGTTTGTATTATTTGACATGTTCGTGTTCGTGTCTGCTAGTTTTTTTTAAGTACCATATAAGTTATTTTATTTAATATTTAACACATTTCCATACTTATATATATATATAAGTTATATTATTTATATAAGGGTCATTGGAGAGAACTTGAACTGTTAACACGAACGATTACTAAACGAACGAGCTGTTAATACGAACGAACTTTGTTCGCGAATAGTCCGGTTCGATAACAGTCTTACAAGGGTCATTGGAGAGAAATTGAACCTTATTATGAGGTATCAAAATCGAATCGATGATTATTCGGTTATCGTTACAAAGTGTTTCTATAACTTTATATATCATTTTTATATAGGATTTAATAAGACTAAGATCAACATATATAATAAAAATACATTTTTTAATTTGTTGAAGAACAAGTATTATTAAGCATGAAAATTTAATTGAAGTTTAATTATTATTCTATAAATGATATTAAGTAATTTAAAATTATGCAAATTGTATTTAATTGAAGTTGATATGTAAGATCTATGAACAAGACACATCTAATATTATAATTTGTTTCTTAATTCTGTTCGGTTCGGTTTAGATTGCACTTAAGATAATATGACGCGATTGGATTTGACAAAGTTTTATATATACACACACACACACACACACACATATATATATATATATGTATATATTTGTGTGTGTGAGAGGTACACTTGATTATATACTTGCTATCTAAAAATAAAAATTAAAAAAATGGGGAGAGATAAGTTATTTATTTACATTTCAATATTTTTTAAAGAATTAAATTATTATTTATATTTTTCACTTTCAAATACTTTTACTACCACTTGCTCACTGACAGCACAACTTCTCCAATAATCAAGTAAGGGCTCGTTTGTTAGCATAAACAAAAAAACATAATTTTTATTATGGGTATTAAAATTAAAATGTAGAGATCGAATACAATATATTGATAATAATAACCAATTAAGGGTTCGTTTGTTAACCTAGACAAGATAGGACAATTTTTATTTCGAGTTTCAAGATTAAACTGTGGAGATCGAATATGTTGTGCATTTGATGTCTATGACTGTTCCGAGACAAGATTTCATTTTTTCAAGGTTTAGAAAATTAATATATTTTTAAATTATTATCATTATTAATGATATTGAAGGAACTCCCTCGTGTTGACCGATTCTCACTTTCCCCAATTGTTTAAACCCTAATTAAAGAAGTGTGCCCCCCTGCAGTGAACCAATTAGAAACCAGCCAACGATCGGTTGAATCGGTCGAAATCAGTCAAAATCAACTAATCAAACCGGTTTGAACCAGTCCAATGTTTTTAAAAATTAATTTAATATATTTAAAATATTTTTTATATAAATAAATAATACATATGTAACTATAATTAATGTGTAATATTTAAATGATTTAAATTGACATAATATTTAATTAACAATTTTTTGTATATAATAAGTTTTATTATAAACAATATTATGCAATATACCTTATAATAACTAAAATTACTAAAGTACCATTAAGAATAAAAAAAAATTAAAGCAATTTCAATCTAACCCAAACCCACTTATATATTCATCTCCTTCCCTAAAACATCTCGACACCCCCAACTCGCATAACAATGCCAAGAAGCCAACTATCAGCTCACTAAACCGACCTAGCCAAAATTCAGCTCAATAAGCCACAAATGCCCAAAAATCTCGACACAAATAATCTCAATTTCGATCCCATCTCCCAATTTCAACCCAAAACTGCATCAATTTCTTGAGGGAATAGGAATTGAATCCTCCGCCATTGATGATGTCTGCCACCTGGTGCTCGAAGTCGTCGGCGAGGACGAGGACGAGGACAGAGGCGACGGTCGTGCATTATACAAAGTTCTACGAGGCGGCGGAGGGTGAGGCTTGGGAGTGGAGCGAGTGGACGACCAAGTCTGCATCTTGGAGGAGCAGGTGTTGTAGCCGAGGGACAGACACTTCTCAATGGAGTTCAGGTCGTCGGTCACGCCGGTGCAGAGGCTCGCCACACCCATGGTGATCGGGCACCACAGGTTCGGGTTCATTTCATGCTCATATGAATCATCCCTATTTTTCGGTTTGTTGTTAAAAAAATTAGCTTAACTAAGGGTATTAGGGTTAACTTTGGCGAATCTTATTCACTAAACCATTGGTGGCGAAAAGTTTTGATTTGGCGCTCACTGCCTCGTTTCATTTTGGTACTCTTATCTATTTAAGGTAGATAAAGACTGAATTCAATGTGATTGTATCTTCTGCTAATATCTCTCCTCTCCCTCTCACTCATATAAGTACAATATTATGCTAACAATTAACAAAGTTATAACCCGCCTTCTCTTTTGCATTAGTGTGTTCAAAAAAACTCGAGGTCTGCAGACTTTAGATTTATCTTGCTTCATTATGTTTTACAGATTTTTTTTTACCAAATAGTAGATTGTTTGGTTGTGCCTTACATTAATTTTGAATAAGTATTTACTTGGCTGCTGTTATTCAAGTTTTTCATTCTTTTGGATGGATTTGTTTTTGCCTCAAACTTTGATGGATTTTTTTTTTCTTTTGCCTCGTACAGATTATTTCAAATGGCTCCGGGATTAGTTCGGAATTCAAAAGCAAGAATGATACCAAATAATTCTCGGCAGAGTCTCAAAGAACTCTTGACAAAGACAGGAGGTTTAGCAAAGAGTAACACCCGACAATCTGAGAAAACCGATATGGCATCAGACAAAGTGAACAAGGGATTGCCAATAACTAATGGTTCGTCTATACGAAGCGAAAATGCGAATCCGACATTCGAGGGAAACATGGCAACTATTCAGCCTCAGCCTCAGCCTCCTCAAACTCAGCAAAAGGAGAGTACTCTTATGCCAGAAGTTCAGACTCCTCAAACTCGGCAAAATGATTTGCAAAATCAAAGTCAGCAACAGTAAGCACTTCTGATCCTCCATTACATTAGGGAAATCAACATCCTCAATCACCTCAGGAAGATATCATTGGTACGTATCTAATACTCCGAAATCGTTGTGATTTCGCAGTTCCAAAAACATGCTAGACATGCTGTAGGAACATATATCATTGGTATGTATTTTATTTTTTGATTCTTTTGTTTTTTCTCCTACTATTAATCTGTTGGATGAATTGACTCAATTGATGTATCGTATTTAGGACCATAGGTGCATCTCCTCATGGGAATTTATCGTTTTAGTTGTCATAAAGTACATTTCTTTCTTACATTTGTTGCTGGGGTGACTTTTGTATATGGAACATGGACACAGTTTTTTGTACATTTCATTAAATGATTTGGGGTGACTTTCGTACCTTTCTTTCTTACATTTATTGTTGGGGTTGACTTTCGTAAATGATTTGGGATGACTTTCGTACATGATATATGTGAAGCAAATTCATGTTTTTTGTATATGGAACAGGGACACAGTTTTTTGTTATTGGGGTAACTTTTGTGGGTAAGGGGGGCTGCTGTAACCCACTAACAGCAGCCCCATCAGTTAATTTATCACATTTAAGAAAGGATTTCTAGCACATTTAAACAGCTATACTAGAACAAATTAATCTGTCTTGTACTCTCCCAACCTCTCTGCACATTCATCAAGATTGTTGATTTTTTTCAGCAAAATGGCTGTAAGTGCCTCAAATTATCAATATTTTCTAGTTTTTTGTTTGACCCATGGTTGTAAAAATTGATTCTTGTTAATTGTTATTGAACTTACTCTCAANTGTCGGTGGATTTATATACTCTTAAAAAAAAAATAAAAAAAAAATAAAAATAAAAATTGCCACCCCAGCCCCAACCCCCATATTATCTTTATTTTTGCTTATAGATTTTAGCTTATCCTGCTTGGTGTAAGCTTCCTTTTTTCAGCTCTACTTTATCTTGGTTTGGATCCCAAAATTGCATTTTCTTTTCTTGTGGAGGATAAAATATGTATGTGATTGGAGAATATGGAATTCTTGTTATGGTTTATAAGTTATTACATTCTGGTATTTGATCCATGTGAATGCCCAGTAGTGCTTTATTCTATTTTTTTACTTTAGCATGAATTTCACCACTTCTTGCAACACTTGGATTGTAAGTGTGATTGGGAATTTTGGGATGTGTTGTGAAGCCTTTAAAAAAAAATCAAAAAATGCAGGCCTCAGTACAGTTTAGGCCCCAAACCCGACTTTTGTATATTTCTTTCTTACATTCGTTTTTGTTTTTCGTTAAGAATTTACCTGGTGGATTGACTTGTTGGTTTAGAAGATATCTCTGTTTTTAATGTGGTTTGTCAAACTGTAGTATGAAAATTTATCGTGCAGAATTCTTTGGTGAAGTTATTTGCCAAATGTTGATGAATGTGTCATTGAATCTACTTTGGAACTCCAGTGACTTGTATAATAAAAAACATGCATGTTCTATATATATACATGTGCCTTTGCCTTTCACAGTGTTTTGATAAAATACATTCTTATGAGTAGGAAGCTTTCGACTAATTAAAATAACCATCATACATGCAGCTTCCAATACCACCAATACCACCAATACCACCAGTAAGAAAAGGCGTGGACAAACAATGGGCAAAAGTATTATGAAGGCATTTCAGGCTTGTGGTAAAAAAATGAAGATAACTATGGATCCATCGATAGGAAGACCTAAAAGGAGAGATGAGTCTTCAAAATATTCTAGTCAAATTGGTGTAGTCACTCGAGATGTCCTTCCAGTGCCAATAAGGTGGAAAGATGTTGATGAAGAAAAAGATCTTCAACCTGCCATTGATCATATAAAGGTAAAAATTAGAAACACTTTTCAAGTTGCATGAATATATTTTTATATCACCTTAAATGGTCTCATTTTTATTTGTGTAGATCCACATGGATATTAACTTGGATGATCCGGGTGTGAAACATTGCGTGATTGATAGAGTCCAAGCTAGTTCACGGCAAAAACGTTACAGATTACACCAACATTATAAGAAATATTCCTCTCATGAAGAAGCTAAGAATAACAAGCTGTCTTTTTGTGCTAGTCAAGAAAACTGGGAAGAAATGTGTGAGCTTTTTGCATCGCCTAAATTCAAGGTAATGCATTATAACATTATTCTTCTATTTGCATATTAAATTTGTAGTTTTCATATTTTTAGTTTTCTAGTGTTCAATAATTGTATTTATGTTTTGGCAGCACCAAAGTTTGATTAATGGGATGAATCGACAAATGTTGTGCGCTCCACATGTTTGGGCCGAACACCTTTTACTGTTCTTCAACATGAAATAGTAAGTTTATGTTCAAGATATTAATTTATGTATGATCATTACTTTTTTTTTTAATTTAAACTATTTATGTTTATTGTTAAAAACATCTTATAGTCTGAGAGGGAGATGAATGGAGGACCACTAGATATGATTGAACTTTATAAGCGTACGCATTTTAAGGAAAAAGATGGTTGGTCAACAAAAGATACAGAAAAAAACTGGATAAGTTGCATGCACAATATCTTATTCTAATTGTTGAAATGAATATCAATATGATTATATAGTTTTTATTGCTATTTGTCAGGACTTGATGATATCAAGGAGAGAAAAATATTCTGAACAAGGCACTGAGAAGAGTGCACAAGATATACTTCTTGAGGTTATTGGCCATGAAGTTGGATATATAAAATGTTATGGGTATGGCCCGTGGCCGCCAAGTAGACGCAAAGCATATGACTTGAACGGCCAGAAGGAACTGCTAGAGACACAAGAAACGTTGCGTGGAAAAGAATCTGAAGTGCTTGAGCTTAAGGACCAAGTTAGTGATTTGAAAGATCAACTAAGTCAACAAGGTGCAAAAGTCGACAAACTTATGGCTTTCATGGCTGCCACTGGGATCCAAATTTGAGATTGTTAGGCTTTGTTATTATTATTATTATTTTATTTAGCAAATTTTGAGATTGTTAGTTCGTTTATTTATGTTTTTAATTAGTAAAATTACTATTATTGTCTTTTTTTTTTTTTATCATCTAGAACATATTACCATCATATATTAATTATAATGATTTTGTCACTGTAATTTTTTTTAATGACGTAATTGTTTAGAGTGACAATAGATTTTGTCACTGTATCATATATTTCATGACAAATAAATATATCACTAAATATCTGCAATTAATGACAATTATTATATTTGCAATAGTGACAAATTTTAAATTGTCATTGAAAATAATCTTTTTTTGATAACATGTAGTCGTGATGTATTTCTTTAAATTTGTCACCATATAAAATGTTAAAATGACAATAACTTTTGTCACTAAATATTTACCTTTTCATGACAACTTATGTTGTCATTCTATCTCAAGCTTTTGATGACAATCATTTTTTTCGTAATCATAAAGTTAATATTTCATGACAAAAGATTTCGTCGCTTTTATATGTTTTTGGGCGAATAACATTTCGTCACTACTTCTATTTTTTTGTGAAACTTTTGTTATCGTCATATTTAAAAAAACTTTTTATGACGACCAATATTTTGTAATTATAGAACAACTTTTTGATGACGAATTCTATGAAATATGGATTATTTTAAAGAAAACGTCACAAATATATTCGTCATTGAAATTTTATAAATTCGATAAAAAAATAAAATTTATCACTAAAAAATAATATTTAGATGACGAATGTAAGTTTTCGTCATTTAAAACTTGTCTTTTTATGAAAAAATAATCGTTTATATGACAAATTTTTCATATTAAACGTGACGAAATTATTGTCACGAAAAGTGACCAAATAACATGACGAAACTTAAAAACGTCATTAAAAGTGAAACATTTGGTGACAAATTCAAAATTTGTCACCTATACCTAAATATGACGCGGCTACGGTGACGATCGCTGTGACGATAAATTTTCGTCATCATTGTACTTCTCATTTACCATTNTCCGGACGCACGGCGGCTGTCCGGTCGTCGGTTCCGGACGGCGGAAAAGGCGTCCGACAGGAAAAACGGGTCGAGATTGGGGGCCGGACGGACCGAACCGGACCGGCCCCGCCGGCCAATCACGAGCCGATCGGACAAAATAATTTTTATTTTTTTATATTATAATTATAAATACTTATATTAATAATAGTTATAATAGTAATAATAATTATAATAAAGATTATAAATAATTATAATAATAATTATAATAAATTTTATAAACAATTACGATAACAATTATAATAATTATAAATTAGAAATAATTATAATAATTATAATAATTATAATAAAAATTATAAATTATAATAATAATAAGTTGAATAAATTGTAAGTAATTATAAATTATAATAATAATAATTATTATTATTATAATTAATAACAATTATAAATTATAATAATAATAAGTTGAATAAATTGTAAGTAATTATAAATTATAATAATAATAATAATAATTATTATTATTATAACTATAATAATAATAATTTGTAATAATACATTAGAATTAGGAATGTTTAATAACAATTTAGAAATGGTTGGACTGTTTGCCTGTTCTTAAGCAGGGTCTGAGGACTGAAATTAGGAATGGTGCCCTAACTAGGATTTCTGACTTGAACTGGGTTCCTTCTCTCCCCAACTCTAATCCTAAGCTGTTAGACATTGCTCAGGGCCATATCATTTGGGTGAAGGAGTTGCTGCAGGAAGATGGGTTAGGTTGGAACACTTGGCTAGTTCAACAACTTTTTAATGCTGAAGATAGTCAAGCTATTTTAAGCATCAAGACCATTAACCCTGCCAGAAATGATAGAACTTACTGGAGTTTGGGCAAGCAAGGGACCTTTTCAGTTTCTTCTACTTATGAGCATTTGATTTACCAGAAGGCACTGTCTCTTGATATTCCTGGAACAAGTGCAAACCCTGCAGTGATGAGGAAAGCTCGGCTTAGGAGCTGGGAACTGAAGGTCAAAGGCACTGTCAAACACTTTATCTGGAAGTGCTGGACTAACACTTTGCCTGTTAACACCAATCTGATCAGAAAGGGACTTGATGTGGATGTGTTCTGCTCTGGATGATGTGAAGGCCCAGAAACTATTGAACATCTGCTCTTTCACTGTACTAG